CAAATGCAAATAACACACCCACACACACACACATACACACACACACATACACACACAGGTACCACAATTTCCATATTACAGAATATCATCACAAAGTAAGGGGCCTCAATTATTAGAAAAGCTGTTTTGAGGTGTTACTTAGCTTCATTGGTTGAGTAGAAAATAAAGGAAAATTTATATGCAAATTTTCCTCTTGAGATGAACTGAGTTACAATTTTGTAGAGTTTAGTAAACTAGTTCTTAAACAGTAAGCTAGAAAATGATAATGTTTCAAATTCTGGGAATTAGGAGAAAGTTTCTCAGGTTGAAAGCTATCTATTTTTGTTGTTGTTGGCAACTCTTTAAGGGACCGTATATTTAATTTCTTTCTTTGTTTTTTGTTTGGATGTGTTTTCTAATGAAGATCAAGGAAAAAATGTAACATTTATTACAAATATTAGCACATATTATTCTGTGTACTGATGGTAGAATAATGCATAAATGTGAATGGTGAATACAATTCAGTTATCCATACATAATTTCTATACGTGCTTTGGAGTGGAAAGTGAGTATCTGCCAATATGTTTAGTAGAACCTTCATTACTGCTGAGATAGCATTTCATTGAACCCATATATTTAAGTGTATAAGATAGATAACCATATTACTCACTTTTGTTGGATCATTGAACAAAATTGTTTGCAGTCTCACTGTTTGAAAGTCCATTTTATATGCTTTAATTTTGTAAGTTGAACAACTATTTCTAAGATAACAATATGTAATCTATTAACTAGTTATTTCGTAGTTTATTCTTTCTGAAATTCTGTATAACTTGTACCCTTTTTCTGTTTTTGTTTCTTTTTCTCCTTAAATAAAATAAAAAAATAGAAAAAATTACTTAATAACATTTGTTCTGAGTGTAACAGAAAGTCTCACACATTCACCATTGGGAATGACAAAAATCTTTTGATCTGTACTAATACCTTCTGAATCACTCTCCTTCAAATAACATAATGAGGTACAGTTTCTGGGAAGACAGGAGCCAATCCACCCCTCCAGTGAGTCAGCAGAAATCACGCTGATCTGGGAGGAGTAAAACAAGAAGCCAATTTGCCCTTCCTGCCAGGCATACAAACCACGCAGGACAATTCAGTTCATCCTTGCTGTCAGCCAACTGGCGTGGAGGCTGAGAATCAAGAACCACTGCCACCTGTGTGAGCAATCGGCTGGTTGGGAGGAGACACTGAGTTGATAGCATTCGAGGTACAAAAGCAACCAAGTGCTTTTAATATTTGGTAGACTTTGCAAATAGTCTGAGCATGTATTAGGGAGGATAACAATTTACAAATATGAGGGATTTCCTTTAGTATTGTTTTAGAAATCCAATATTCTCATTGTTTAGCTTTGTTCTGATTTATTGTTTTGTTTTATTTAATTTTCTGTTCTAATTGGTTTTATTCTGTTTTGTTTTATTTGATTTTACTACATCTGATGGTATGGACAACTATTGTGACGATAACAAAATATGTTATACTAGTTACTGTCAATTTTCTATTGTCTTGTTTTGAGTTCTGTACCACTTTCACTGTTTTATTTGATTGGCTTTGTTCTATTTTATTTTGTTAGCTTTTATTTTCTTTAAAATACAAAAAAATCAGACTGGAGATTTAGCTGAACGGTGTAAGTGCCTGCCTAGTAAGCACCAGGCCATGAGTTCAATCCCCAGCATCAAAATAAATAAATAAATAAATAAAATACAAAAAATAATGTCATGAGGAAAATTAGGATAACAGAACATATGAATATATGTGACACTGTTTTACTACAAACTCCCACACATGTAAACATGTATATGTATGCATGACCATCTGAATTTACGTACCCATCAATTTATCCAATAAACTCAGGCCAAATTATAAGTTAAATATAGAATATTTATAGATTACTCTTATGTAATGTATGTAATTCTTTTTCACTTTCTCTTTTTTAATAATATGTATAATTATGGTATGTTGCTCGGATGTGGCCTTATTAATTTGTGTATATACATATTTAGGTGTTACCTATACACACAGTGGGTGGTAAGAGTGATATTGTGGTCAAGTAATTAAAAAATATGATTCTCATAACTTTCAGAATTCTTGGTCAGAATTCACACCTGGGAGAATATGTACAAAACTGCTGCTATCTTTTTTTCGGTACTTTCTCCCTTGCTTAAAAGCCATTAATTGTATAAATGATTTCAAAGGTCCCAAAGGATGTTTCCTTTTTTCTCAGAGCCTTCAGAGACACTGAACTGTGGAGATCCAATCAGGCTCTTACACTGGATTCTGAAGAGCACTCAAAAGGCACCACGTTGCCAGTAGAGGTTCAACCAGATGGTTGCAGAAAGCCTGGTGCTCAACACCCTCAGTCATGCACACTGCTCTGGTCTCCTTTAAATCTCTGGTGAGTTGGGAAGATCCCCAAAGCTTTATATTTTCAGGATATTCAAAAATATGAACAAGTTAGTGGTTAATGGAAAGTTCAGAATTTCTTTTTGACTCCAACTAACATAGATTGTTGATTATTTTGGGAACAAGAAGGCAAAAAGTGTCTCTGTGATTGTGAAATAAATGTAAATGTACTTCCCAATTCACTGGAGATAGTGAAGTCCAGGCAGTATGAAGTTAATTTTTGCATTAAGTGATGAGTGACTATATTACTTGCAATGAGAGTGATCTCTGTTCATAAGAGGAAAGTAACCAAGACTAGACGAGTATTTGAGGGTTTTGAAAGGACTTACTGGAAGAAGCTTCTGTATAAAAATCCTCTCCTGCCACTCACGTCACCATATAACCTCTGTGTGAACAAGTCTAGGGATCTGAGCTTGACTGTGTCACAGCCAGACATTCATGAGTAGAGAGCTCCATTAGCTAGGAATTTTTGTGACACATGTCATACGTGGTCTGTCTGTTTCCTAAAAGACGATTATCAATAAACATTTCTCTCTCCCACTTGAAAGTTTGCTTCTTCCTGTGTCATCGTGACTTGAGTTAGGTATGTTTACCTTGTGAAACTGTTCCTCAATGTTACAATCAGTAAACTGGGCTGATTAAGCACAAGTCTTGGATCAAAATTTGATTTGAACATTAGCTCTATCAGTTTTAAGTTTTGTGAGCTTATATATGTTGAGTCACCCTGTTGCTCTTTGTTCCTCATCTCTATGAGTAAAGACAACAGCATATACACATAACAACTAGGTTTGAGTAGAATTAATCTATATGGAAATAATTAACACATTGTGTGGAGAGGACTTTGTATCTCTCTTTAAATGAAAAATAACTGACAAAGGTATGTGAAATAAATCATGTGTCTTAAGATATACATTCTTTTGACAAGTATTATGATCATTGATGTGCACTAGTTATTATATACCACATACTACTGAAGAGTAAGTGACATTTAGTAACTCTAACAAGTATAGGGTAGTATGTAGTACCATTGCTCCCCTTAAACATGTTATTGAAATTGTTCAAAGAAAAGTTTAGCTCTTGCTCAATCCTGACTAGTTCTTGTTGAAAATAAGAATTACCACTTACTCTGTGATAACTGAGTACTCCTGTTTCTATAGTATGAATACCGTAAAAGCTGTCTATCATCACACTTATCTAAAACATGTACTTGGACATCTGATTACTCTTCTTTCAGATATGCCTTACTTTGGTGAATAACTTACCTAATAACAGTAACCATAAACATTATTAGCTCTTGAGAGGATATAAAAGGGAATTTGTAGACAGAAATTTATATTCTATGAAGGAAGAAAATGAATATAATATTATATGTCATAAACTTGAGATAAGAGTAATGATATGAACAAGAACAAAATTGGTGAAAGGAGATCTAGAGGAGGAAAGAGGGAGATGAGAGGAAAGGGGATTATAAAAAAGAATAAAGCTGAAGTATACACAGGAACATATTTTTCAATATAATTTTAAACCACGTGTACTGCAAACATGTACTAATAAAATAGAAAACACAGAAAGCTGAGTTTTTGTGCTTTAATGAGTGAGGTTTAATGGTTTAATTCTTAGAATATCATGAGAGTCTCTGAGATGGCTCATCAACTTTAATTCACAAGCCAGATACTCAGATCTGAAAGTTCTTATTTCTACAATATTCTATGTTATGATTTTTCCTGCCAGTCTTGTGCCTGGTGCTGTCTCGTTACCATAGAAGGAGCAGTGATATTCAAAGTATCATTCCACATTTATTAGTTTTATTGGCAGATGGCCACAGCATTGTTCAATTTAGAGTTAGCAAGAGCCATTCAGAGATTTAACTGTGTAAGAGTCTTCCTGACTTCATTCCAGGTTTAAGGGGTATTTACAAATATTTTCTATGTAAAACATAGCACTATATCTTAGTCACATGAAGCTGAGAGCAAAAGCAGCTGCTTTCCACAGTGGATATTCCTACAATGAGCTTCTGAGTTTTTCTTTCGCTTTTCCTACACTAAAATTCACTATGGTGTTTGAGTTAGAGCAGACTGAGCAGCTCCACTTATAATTTATGAACATTAATTAAGATAAGCTTGGTGTCGTGAAATGACCAAAATTGTTGTAAAAGCTAAGTTACTAGTAAAAGAACAGCCATGATTACTGCTAACATTTTTTAAGTCTTCATTATGTCCAATTTGGGAAATTACATAAAGTTAGTTTACTAAATAATCTTGAAAACTTTCTGGTGTGGTATAATTATTTTCTCCTTTTAGATTCAGAGAATGGAGATATAAAGTGATCAAACAACTTGAGAATGTCATATGTGCTATTAAGTATTAAATACAGATGGGCTAATAACATATTAATTCCAAAGAAATCACTTCTCATTTCAAAGTTATTTCAGAAAACAACTATTTCACTTCTTTCTTCCTTCTTTTTTGTACTTTCTTGTTTTTATTTATTTATTTGTTTGTTTGTTTATTGAGTATCGGGTTTCAAACCCATAAATAACTTTCATTTATTTTCTGGCCTAGGAAATTGCCACCTTGAAAGAGTATAAGATGATCTGTTCCTGTCAGCCAAAATGTCTGGAGCCAACAGCTCCAGCCTGACCCTGGGATTCTTCATCTTGAATGGTATTCCTGGCCTGGAAGCTGAACACATCTGGATCTCCCTCCCATTCTGCCTCATGTACATTGTTGCTGTCCTGGGAAACTGTGGGCTCATCTACCTCATTGGCCATGAGAAGGCCCTGCACCGGCCTATGTACTACTTCCTGGCTCTGCTGTCCTTCACTGATGTCACCTTGTGCTCCACAACTGTTCCCAACATGCTGTGCATATTCTGGTTTGACCTCAAGGAGATTGACTTTAATGCCTGCCTGGTGCAGATGTTTTTTGTCCACATGTTGACAGGAATGGAGTCTGGGGTACTCATGCTCATGGCACTGGACCGCTATGTGGCCATCTGCTATCCTTTACGCTATGGCACCATCCTCACCAACCCTGTCATTGCCAAGGCTGGTCTTGCCACCTTCTTGAGGAGTGTGATACTCATTATCCCATTTACTTTCCTCACCAGACGTCTGCCCTATTGCCAGGGCAACCTCATCCCCCATACTTACTGTGACCACATGTCAGTGGCCAAGGTCTCCTGTGGCAATGTCAAAGTCAATGCTATCTATGGTCTGATGGTTGCTCTCCTGATAGGTGTGTTTGACATCTGCTGTATCTCTGTGTCTTACACGATGATCCTGCGGGCTGTAGTGAGTCTGTCATCAGCAGATGCCCGCCATAAAGCCTTTAGCACCTGTACGTCTCATATCTGTGCTATTGTAATCACTTACGTTCCTGCCTTTTTTACTTTTTTCACTCATCGCTTTGGAGGACACAGTATTCCCCACCACACACACATCATCGTGGCTAACCTTTATCTATTACTTCCTCCTACCATGAATCCGATTATTTATGGTGTCAAAACCAAGCAGATTCAGGAAGGTGTAATCAAGTTTTTACTTGGGGAAAGAATGGCTTTACCTAAAGCAAATGATGCATAAAGTAGATTTCTTGGCATGGAGATAAGAAGATAGTGAAAAAGAAATTCCTCAAAGGGGTAAAGGACAGGGTATTGTCACTCTGTTACATAATTTTTTCTCAAATTTTGCAGGTATTTGTTATGAAACATTTCTTGTAAGCAAAGATTTGCCAAAGTAGAAAATTCAGAATTATAACTTAACTATAGTTTGTAATTTTATGTTTTTCCCAAATGTTTATCGCATAATATATCCAATGAGAATAACAGTATAAGAACGCGTTGAGTGGGCTAATCTACACATTGTGTGAGTAGAGAGGAGGCTGTTCTAACATGAGTAAGCATACCCTCTTCCTTAAGGCACATCCTATTGGATTGAACATGTTTTAGACACAGACCCAATATTGCAATTTCCTATTATCGGTTCAAATGCACTAAATTTAGATGGCTCTAGAATCCACCAATTTTATTTGTTAACCTTTAAAAGGACCTATGATTCATCCAAGAACATGTAAACATTCTTTTTCTCATTTTTTGTTATAAGTTTGGGAGCATCATTTAAAATGGATAGAAATATAGTTGTCATACTAATGATCAAACGAGCAAATTTTTTCAGTTACTAGTATATTTAATCATTTATTTATTCACTCTTTTGTTCATTTGTTATTTTGAGATTGTAACTTATTTAATATTGTTATTTATACTATGACTTTAAATAGAACCAGAGTTGAATATGCTACAGTCCCAGGCCTCAGGGTATTGACACTCCAGACGTTGATAAGAGACATGAGATGCCACCCATGTGAAAAGGGAGGAAAGTTTCTAAAAAATTGGATCTCAGGTGGACAAGAAAAAAGTTAGTAGGAAAAACTTGATGTGGAGATGATCTGAGTGTTGGATTTAGCTAGCCCTACAGTTTAAACACTGCATTTCTAACTAGATTTTGACAAGACTGGACTTAATCCTAGAAAATCAAATCTTAATCTTTCTGAACTTTGACTTACACCTTTACTGCAACATATATCTGGCCAGTAAAATATTCTAATAAAAAGCTTGCTCCTTGTTTTCTGATATATACTAAGAATTTAATAAATTGTGCTGTTATAGGAGTTATTTTCAACTCTGATTCTTTCTGAATATTATAATTTGGGAAGAAATCATTCCAAGTGTTTCCAAAGTTTCTATGGATGAAATTTCACTCACCTCTCACAACTTTTTTGCCAATATTAACCAACGTATTTTTCTTTCTACCTTTTATGATGTGCCTACCTCCATTTCATGTACTGAGAAATACAACTGGTTACAAAACTCTAATGAGTTTCTAGGCTAGTAGGGACTATCACTCTTTGTTGACTTCTATAGAAGTATAGCAAGACATTGTACATCATTGAAAATGGGGACAATAGTAAGTAAAGACTGCATGAGAGGTAGGATATAAAATAAATCTTGAATGACATGGGTGCTTATGAAAGAGCATATGAGGATTGTTTGAAAAAAATCATGTGCAAAATACTGAGAGTAACAAAATCATGCTGTTTATATATCCAAAAGTGTTAAAAGGGAGGAGATGCAAAAGTTATGGGCACGGAGGTAGACACAGGCCTTGCCAGATGCTGTGTGTCTTGACATCACACTAGGCATGCATGTGGCACCTTTCACCTTTCAGAAATACCAACTACTTAGCATGACCCTTAGTCTCTATGCAGTCGGTACCCATTAGTCACTTTCCTGAGCATCTCTTGTTTCTACCTAACCACTACTTCTCAAGGTTTGTCTCCTCTTCTTTTTTTTTTTCCTCTAAAAATTCTACTTTCTACTACCACTCAGGCTCTTCTCATGACTCAAGGAATTCCTATTGTAAACAGGAGATTTCTTATGTCTTCCACTGTAATTACTTATTTTCAAAGTTTTCACTGTTCTCTCTCTCACACACAAAGTGGTTTCAAGATTACACTGACAACACATAGATAGTACTTATTTTCCAGATACTTTTCCAGGAATTGTATGTTCATTTGTTCCTGAAAGCAGGCATGAAGGTAGCACTAATTTATGCCTATTTTACAGATAGATGGACTGATACTTTGGAAGGTTAATAACCTAATAAAAGTCACAGTTGCAAGTGATAAAATGTGGATTTAAAACCAGGCAACCTGGTTCCAGTGGCTTCAGTATTAATGCTTACAGTATATTACATAATTAGGGATAAATCTGGAGAGTATCTAGCATACTTTTAAACTGACATAGTGCAAAGTCTCTGGGGAAGTCCCTGTATGGGCAGAAGGGATGGTTCTTTTGAGTGAATGGCTCATCAAAATACAAAGGTCTGTTATCAGATTATATGTAGTCCTACATAGTATTTCATATGTGCTCATCATCACATGACCAAACATTTGTACTCTTTTTTTTCCCATCCATTTTTATGTTATTTTTGTTTTGTTTTGTTTTATTTATTTATGTTTTGTGTGTGCCAGGGATTGAACTCACGACCTTGCCAAGCAGGCACTTATGCTGTTGAGCTAAACTCCATGCCCCTTTCTTCTCTTTTTCTAACTTATCCCAATGAAGTACTATTACAAAGAATCTGAGGAGGAATTTGAGCAATGAAGCACATTATATAGTAACCTCTGAATTTGTTCCCTCTGTGAATGGGATCATTAATTGCTTGCTCAAGAGCCTCTATGTTACTAATATCTATACTGATTGTCATTTTTCCGTGCCCTAAATGATCTCTATTTTATTTTTTCACAGATAATAATTTTTTAAATTGATTTACATATGTATTATGCTTACTGTTTATTAAATGCCTTCCTCAGAACCCCCTCTTTATATTACTAATACCATGAGAGTAAGGATCCTTGCCTTCTTGCTTACATACTGAGGTGTCTCAAATGTTAGGATATTGCTTTCCACATGATTGGCACATTGAAAGTATTTGTCCAGGAACTACCCTCTACAAAATGAGTAAAAAGTTTGTTGCTGAGAAGGAAATATTTCAGTTGCCAGATGTAATGTTAAGAATGAACCAAGTAGGGAAAATAAAATAAATATCTAAATGTGACTTCTGTTATTTTTGAACCTGTACTTGTTCTCTAAACAATTCCTTGCTCAAATTAATGCTTCATTGTGGACACTGTAATATTCAAGATACTTTTATTATCTTCATATTAAAATAGTTTAATTTTTGATAATTTTCTTCCTAAAATAATATTCAAACATACCTCACCTTGGATCAATTTTATTCATTAAAAATTCAACTCTTTTATCTCCACATATCTATGACTTTAACTAGCAAATATAAAATTTCATTCATTCATTTTTTATTAGTCTTTGTATCTTTTTAAAACTTTTTAGTTTAGTTAAATTTACTTTAAATTAACTTGAAAACATGAACATGTGCATAATAATATGATACCATGTGGTATTTTGTTACACGAATACAATGTATAACATTTAATTAGTATAACTATATGTTTCAAACATTTATTATTTATTGATGGTAAAAAAATTTAAAAATCTTTCTTCTACATTTTCAAGATACACAATGAAGTACTACAATGTATAATCACCCTACATTTTAGTGCTATACCAGAAATTCTTACAGGTAATAGACAGCAATGTAGTACCCACTGATCAAACTTTCCCAATCTTCTCTCCTTCCTACTGTTCTTATTCTCTGGTAACCATATTTCTGATCTCAACTTCTATAGCACTTTTTCTCTTATATTCCATGTATGAATAAGTAGGTGCCATAGTTTTCTTATTATTATCAGTTTATTTCTTGTAACATAATGGTCTCCAAATCTATTTATGCTACAATGAATGACAGAATTTCATTCTCTTTGGAGGGGGTGAATATTCAGCTACTGTGCATACAGGGTATACTTTCTGTCTCCTTTCATAATCTGATGGACATTTTGGTTGTTTCTGTCTCTCATGAACTATTTGAATAATGCTACAATAAACATGGAAATAAAGATGTCTTTTTATCATGGTTTTGGATCTTGACCAAATTATCCTGGCCCACACCACTATTGTGAAACATTAACTAGTATGAAACTATAGACCAATGAAATAAAATGGAGAGCCAGAAGTGAATCCAGGTGTCTTCAGTCAATTGATCTTCACCAGAAGTATCAAAAATGCACACTGAAAATAGAGCAATCTTTTCAAGATATGGTGTTAGGTGCAGCCACTCTGGAAATCAATATGGAGATTTCTCAACCAACTATAATTAGAAGTTCCATTCAACCTAGCTATTCTCTTTCTTGGTATTTTGCCCCCCAAATTGAAAAGATCATGCCACAGTATTATATGTGCATCCCTGTTCATAGAAGCACAATTTGTAATAGCTAAATCTTGGAAACAACAAAAATGCCCATCAACTTCAGAGTGGATGAAAAAGATGTGGTTTTTTTTATACAGTAGAATATTGCTCAGCTATAAAAAGGATGATCTTGAGGCCTTTATTGGTAAATGGAGGCAATTTGAGACTATCCTCACAAGTGAAATAAATGAGACTTACATTTTTAAATACCACATTGTCTCTGTAGTGTAAATAAATAATAAAAACTGAAATAGCAATAAGATCCAAAATATGTAGTAGTTATTGTAAAACTGAAAGAGAAGGAAAGGATATAACTGTATGTATGTTTAAGTGTGTAAGATAAATGACCATATTACTAAATTTCCATTAGATCACTGAACAGAATAGTTTGCATTGTCAATATTTGAGTGTCTTTCCACTTTTTACACTTTGATTTTGTAATTTGAACAACTATTTCCAGCAGAACAATGTGTAATTTATCAACTAGTAATTTCTTAGTGTTAATGTTTTTCTGTCAAATTCTATATTACTTCTACCATTTTTTCTGTTTTGCCTTGTTTTTCTTTCTTTTTTCTTTAAAAAAAAGGGGAAAAAAGACATGATGGTAGGAAAATTAGATACCCACAAGCAGAAGAATGAAACTAGGCACTTACTTTTACCAGTTAAAAACAAGATGAAAATGTAGTAGAAATTTAAATTCAAAACTAAAACTTGCAGAATAAAATACATGAAAAATGTTTCAGGACTTTGGAATGGGCAGAAA